TGGCCGTATCTTTCCATCTTGTTCTCTGGCGGAGGTCCGGCGGTCTCGGCTGGTAGATCGACTCTCCATCTCGTCCCGTATCTGATCCGCCTTTTTTGCCGTTCGCAGGAGGCTGCGGCACGTTTTTGTCGCGCATCGCCGTCCGTCCCATTCAGCGACACACCGGTTTTCAGCGCCCGGCACAACCGACGTGTCCGGCTCCTGTGCTGGTCCGACCGAGCGGCGGTGTCCCCCAATCAGACCTCAGGCTCCTGTGCTGGTCCGACCGTGCGGCAGTGTCCCCCGATCAGGCCTCAGGCTCCTGTGCTGGTCCGACCGAGCTGCGGTGCCCCCCAGTCAGGCCTCAGGCTCCTGTGCTGGTCCGACCGAACGGCGGTGTCCCCCCATCACGCCCCATGCCCCTGTCCTGGCCCCATCTGACCGGCGGTGTCACCCGATCAGGCCTCAGGCTCCTGTGCTGGTCCGACCGAGCGGCGGTGTCCCCCCATCAGGCCTCAGGGTCCTGTCCTGGTCCGACCCGACCGGCGGTGCCCTCCGATTAAGCCACAGTCGGGGAAGCTCCTGAACCTGGTGAGGTACCGGTCACACCGGCAGCAGCGCCAACAGGCGGTGCTGGGGCGCGCCACGGCAAGACTGTAGACTGACGGTTCTTCTGCAGCGCTGTCTTCGTCAGGGGACGGGCGGGACCGACAGAGGCGGGGAGCAGCGGGACATGGGTGCTTTCGGCCTCGTCCGGCGTCGCACCGGTGGGGTGGGGGTTCGGCCTCGTCCGACGGTGTACCGGTGCGGTTCGGGTCGCCGCCAGGTGCACACCGCGGCTGAGTCGGTCGCACAGCGCAGGCCTGGCCGCCGCCTGGACACCGGTCCCGTTATGAGGCCTACAGTCTGCGGCCCGCGCGGCGCACCACACAGCGATATTAGAGGTGACACCTCGCAGCACTCATCAGTGGGATAGGTGTCGACCTCACACGGCCCAGCGGTGGCACGGGTGGCCCCTCTACCACCCAGCGCTGGCGCACTCACACGGCCCCGCGGCGGAGCAGGTGAGGCGGTGCGGGCGCCACTGCCTGCTGCGGCTCAGACGGCCACCGCCGGCAGGAGGCCACTGCCGCCACCGCCGGCCGCGCGCCGGTATCCTGCAGCCGTGCAGCCTCGGCGCGCGTAAACAGACCCCGGCCGGCCGGCGGCGCCGCGCTCCGCTCGGGTTAATGGCCGTCCGATGGGCGGCCGCGCCGGCCGGTCAGCCGGCAGACGTCGGCGAATGCCTGCCGCCGGCCACGGCAGGCTTTAGGCGACTGGCCGATAGTGGCGGCGATCAAGAGCTAGGGGCCGAGTGAGCCGCGCCACGACCGTCGCCGACCGCCTGCAGGTGCGCCGCACACTGCAGCCGGCCGCGGCCGCTCTTGCCGCCTGTGACCCAGAACGGAGCGGCGGCCGGCCGGCTGGGGCCGCCCCGCCACTCTGCTCCCGATCCGACCGCCTCGGAATCCGGACGTGCAGGGTCGGGCCAGGCCGAACGCGCCCGACGGGACACCGTTCGCCGGCCCGTCCCCACAGGGGCGGGGGATGGGCCCGCTCCGGCAGCCGCTCTCGGCCTCCGCTCACCGGACCCGTCCTCACGGGGGCGGAGGGTGGGCCCGCTCCGGCAGCCGCTTTCGGCCTCCGTTCACCGGCCCGTCCCCACAGGGGCGGGGGATGGGCCCGCTCCGGCAGCCGCTCCGGCAGCCGCTCTCGGCCTCCGCTCACCGGCCCGTCCTCACGGGGGCGGAGGGTGGGCCCGCTCCGGCAGCCGCTCTCGGCCCCCGTTCACCGGCCCGTCCTCACAGGGGCGGGGGGTGAGTCCGCTCCGGCAGCCGCTCTCGGCCCCCGTTCACCGGCCCGTCCTCACAGGGGCGGGGGGTGAGCCCGTTCCGGCAGCCGCTCTCGGCCTCCGCTCACCGGCCCATCCCCACAGGAGCGGAGGGTGAGTCCGCTCCGGCAGCCGCTCTCGGCCTCCGCTCACCGGCCCATCTTCACAGGAGCGGAGGGTGAGTCCGCTCCGGCAGCCGCTCTCGGCCTCCGCTCACCGGCCCATCCTCACAGGGGCGGAGGGTGAGCTCGTTCCAGCAGTCGTCCTCGGCCGCTGACTCTTCAGAACACGCACAGAGTCTGACCCGACCACTGTGCACGCTGCTAACTATGCCTAGTGGTCAGAAGTCCGCAGCAAGTGTAAGTTTTGTGACTGGGAGTGTTATGTCTCATCAGGCCGGTTTGCCTATGGTTTTCAAGGGGGCTTTGATTTTGACCAGAACTTTGACATCAAACAATGTGAAAACAGCCCCACCGGGGAAGTTTGATTGGGAAATGCTGTTTAAACATCGTAAAATTTGATCGTGTATATCTTCTGGATTCTCTCCGAGATGTTTGAACCATCACAAACCCATGCTGTCATCCCGTCTGCCCCTTATTACTCGGTGCCGGGCGACCGTCTACTGCGTGCGCTGGTCGTAAGGGTTGGAAGGTTCATTGTCTTCACCACGTACATCTACAGACCTTTTTGTTTGTAAACAGTGCACGCATTCGTTAGACCCAAACGAGCATAAGCCGTGTGTCTCCGTGATAGACTGAGGTAATAGGTTTAATATTAAGACGCGCGTGAAAACTCGGGGCGGAACGATGGGAGTAGCAACTAGAAAGGGATAAAGGAAGGAAGGTAGGAAGGGAGGGAGAGAAGGAGGAGAGGGAGAGAGAGGGAGAGAGAGGGGAAGAGAGAGAGAGAGAGAGAGAGAGAGAGAGAGAGAGAGAGAGAGAGAGAGAGAGAGAGAGAGAGAGAGAGAGAGAGAGAGAAGAGAGAGAAGAGAGAGAGAGGAGAGAGAAGAGATATAGAGAGAGAGAGAGAGAGAGAGCTAATGAGAGAGAGAGAAGAGAGAGAGAAGAGAGATAGAGAGAGAGAGAGAGAGAGAAAAGGAGAGAGAAGAGAGAGAGAGAGAGAGAGAGAGAGAAAGAGAGAGAACGAGAGAAGGGGAAACAAGAGAAAAAGTGACATCGTAATCGCCATGAATCTAGATCGCCCAGGAGACAGAACTGGGACACAACCGCCGAGCCCGGCAGGCACGCGCACGGTCTGTGCGGGTGATACGGTAGACGGCCTGTTTACGGCTGGCAGACTGACGGTAGCGGGGACCCATGATGGGTAGCAGGGGCAAGTCCAGGAAGGCCCAACAGAGGTGCACCTCCCAACCGTCAGCACACCTTTTCCCAGCTTGATTCTGATTTTGAGAACTGAAACGGCATACGAAACTTATCCTTTCCGATATTCAACGCTGGATCGCCGTCGGTGGGTCGTGAGAAGATAAAGCATACGTCCTGGAGCTAGTGGTGTGTGATGTGAATGGTGATGCCATACGTCTTGGAGCTAGTGGTGTGTGGTGTGAATGGTGATGCCATACGTCTTGGAGCTAGTGGTGTGTGGTGTGAATGGTGATGCCATACGTCTTGGAGCTAGTGGTGTGTGGTGTGAATGGTGATGCCAGTCTGGAGCCAGTAGTGTGTGGTGTGATTGGTGATGCCAGTCGGCATGGCATGCGATGGAAAGCCAACCGAGATCACCAGAGATGGGACGGTCGGTCCGAGCCGCGGATGACAGCCGACAACAGGAAGACGAGGCAGACCCGGCAGCCGAGGGGCGGGGAACAAGCAGGTCAGCACGACCCAGATCTGACCCACCCGGGCGCATCCGGCCAGCTGGGGCCGCGCTCGACGCACCCGAAAACATGGTGAGAGGAAGGCACAGGTGCTCCCGGTGCGCCATGGAGTACTGGACCTGGGCGGGTCACCCCGACCAGGCATAGAACAGACTGCATGTGGAGGTGGGGAAGTTGGGTCGGGGGGGGGGGGGGCAATTTGCTACAAGAGGCATGTGTCGACTATCTGAAACAACAAACTCGAACCCTTGACTCGAGCACGTTGACCTCGTCAAGTAAGAGAAAGCAGCGTCAATAGGATACGCCATCAAGCGTCCGACATGGAATAACCAGAAGAATGCGCCAGCTAGTCCAGCTGACCCACAAAAAAACACGACAAAAAATCCAGCCCCTACGCGGCACCCGTTTGGGTTTTGTTAGCGCGCCTGACGTCAGGGTACCGGGCGGCCCGCTACGCGTCCCGCTGCTCCCGGACACTCCAGGGCGCAGCCGATCAGGGGCGGCGGCGGCGGCAGGCTGGTGAGCTGGCCGGTGTTGACCTCAGCGTCGCCATCGGTACTGAGCTGCGCGACGACGGCACCACCGCCGGCACCCCCCCCCCCTTCCCTTTCCCCCACGGACCGCGACGACAGCACCACCTCCCGCACCCCCCCCCCCCCTTCCCTTTCCCCCACGGACCGCGACGACAAGCACCACCTCCCGCACCCTCCCACGGACTGCGGGGAACGTTTCCTCGTGGTATGACAAATTTTGCAATTCAAAACCCACCGCCTGTTGGTTGACCTTATCGGTGAGCCATGGGCACGCTAGTCAGTGATCACAGCTGTTGCGCAGCGATCTGTTGAATAGCGTTTGTTTGAGGCTCGCGTTCTGTAGTATTTGTTGTTCATTGGTGTTTTCGGGCGCGTCGACCGTAATTGTCATTTTGCGCCTATAACGATGCTTTTACTTAACCAGTGTGGTGTGAAATGACTTGAAAGTCAACATCTGTTAAGAACGAAAAAAGTTGATTGGACCCGAGAAAGGAGGAGCTGTCAGTTCTGTGGAATTGAAACAATGCAGAACATCCTTCTAAATTTACCTTATAGAAATAGTACCACCCCATCCGTGCCTTAGAGACATAGCATCGACTTCTCTGTGTCGTGCTCCATCCGAAAGAATGCTCACATCATTCTGTTCCTCATCCAAAACGCCTCCGGAGAATGAGTCGATTCAGCGGCCGTCCGGTTCTAGGGCGCGGGCGCGGGCGCGGGCGCGAGCGTGGGCGCCGGGCGGACGCGGGCGCCGGCGCCGGCGCCGCCAGCCGAGGCCACTCACCTTCCGAGTTGAAGCCGAGAGAGCCGCGCTGCCAGGGTGCGCTGGTCGGGCCGGACGGCGTGGTCGGGCTGGCCGCCGGCGCCTTCTCCAGCGGCCGAGGTGACAGCGGTCCCTGCAGCACACGTGCGCCGACCGGTTACATTGGCCGGCGCTGCACGCGGCCAGCGCGTATGCCAGGTGACCTCCGTGCAGGCAGGTGGGCTCTTTGGAGGTCATAAAGCCGATGCAAACGAAGCAAGTAAGGCGCAAGATGGCCAAGCAAAACTTTGTTCGGGTGCCGATAGTGTAAAGGTGAACGCGCAGTGGTTAGAGCATCTGTGTTAACCCCTGCGCGTCTGGGAAACCAGAGGTGTAGGGTTCGATTCCCTGCGGTGCCCGCCCTTCCTACCAGAGTGAGAAGCAGCCGACGCCATATAGCATCAGCTGCTGAGTGTGGCATGAAAATGCAATGACAACGACGAACGCTTGGTGGCAACGACGTACAAAGGCTATGCAATGCAAATGTCCGATCAACGCAAGTTAAGTGAAGTAGGGCACAACCTGAGAAAGTTAATGAGATCAAAGAAATGCGATTAAATTACGCAGCATCATTATACAACGATGCACGCTGTGCACCGCAGCGCGGTCACGTGCATGAACGTACTGTGACTAGATCGCGTACCTAATCAAATGCATCCCACAACGACGCTGTGCACGTTACAGAGACGGCGCAGCTGAGGAGAGCGTTCTCGTTACGATCGTGTGCTAACAGCCCCGGAGCCTGAGCCCTGCTCCCGGCCAGAAGCTCCCTCCTGTGGCAGCGGGCGTGAGAAGCGCCGGCGCCAAACGGCTTCAGATGTTGAATACGCCGCCAGACTCCGCCAGCTGTGTGCGTTGCGTGTGCCGCTGCATCTGAGAGCGGGCCGGCGCTGGCCGGTCGGTTCGGCCGTTTCCGGGGCTGACGCTGCGCTTCGCCGGAGGTCGGGAACGCGGCCGTCATCATGCAGCGCACGTGGCTGACCGGTCAGGCCGGTCGGCGTCTGCCGTGAGGAGCGGCGGCAGCCGCACAGAGGCCCGGCACGGCTCGTCCAGACACGAGTGAACTCGAGCACAGCGGCGGCAGCTGTACAGAGGCCCGGCACGGCTCGTCCAGACACGAGTGAACTCGAACAGAGCGGCGGCAGCCGCACAGAGGCCCGGCGCGGTTCGTCCAGACACGAGTGAACTCGAGCACAGCGGCGGCAGCTGTACAGAGGCCCGGCACGGCTCGTCCAGACACGAGTGAACTCGAACAGAGCGGCGGCACGCAGCGGCTCGCTCCAACAGCTTCACAACAGAGTGGCGTGAACGGAACTTAACCTTATTCTGGCCAGACTGCCATCTAATTTGGCCCACATCACGGGCACGAGCGGAGCCTTGGCCCACAGCCGTAGACTCCAACACAATCGCCAACTCGAGCAGAACCACAGGCGGCCCCGAAAGAACTGCTGGCCCGCACACGACCCATTCGGCAGCCAAATAGGTAGATCGGTGACTCGGTCAGAATGCCAGTCGACCTTCCACTGGATCCACTTCCACCGGACTGGATCCACTTCCACTGGACACTTCCACTGGATCGCTAACCCAGGTGTAGTCCCAGCGCCGGCTCCGCAGACATTTCGACCCTGAGCAAAATGCCGGCCGGCAACCCAATGCTTCAACAGACCTGACCAACCCGAGCGACACCCCCGCTAGCGGCCGCGAGCTCCGACAAAATCGCCAATGCCAGCAGCACACCGGACGACAATCAACAAAATCCCGACAGCCGAGCACTCCGACAGAATCCCTAACCCGAACAGAAGCCCACCAGCGGCCGCGAGCTGATGCAGAGCCGGCAGTGCGCGCCGAGAGCGGCCGGCAGCCATGAACGCGGCAGTGCCGGTCAGGTAGCGGTCGGCCACCTCCGCAGACGCCTACTACGTGCCGCCAATAGCCGATGAGGTCCGCTGTTGGCCGCAGGGCGTTCACCGCGCCGGCGTGCGCGCGGCGGCGTGGCTGGATGGCGAGGCGTCACGGCCGTGCTGGGCTATCCCCGAACATGCGCCTGCACGGAGTCATCGCCGCGCAGCAGCAGCGGTGCACGGCAGGCGGCGCCCAGACGGCGGTGTTCAGCTACCCGCGTCCAGAGCTGGAAAACGCTGGTCATGCGCGAAACGGCGCTGGTCGCAAGCGGACAAAGCTGGAATGCCCCCGGGGCCCGGCGTCGAGTCCTGACAGCGGCGGTGGTGACCGCTGACCGGGCGGAGAGACGCCCGCTGCACCAAGAGACGCGCACCGGGCCGTCACGAGGTGAGGTGACCTGGTCAGCCGAGGCGCTCAGGCCGCCGCGCTGCCCTGTGTTTGCCTGGGTCTCGCTCCGCTACCTTCCGCTGCACGTCAGTCGACCTGCCAACTCGCCGCCGCCACAACACAGGTGGACGCGCAGCAGGCAACCGCCAGTGCAAACTTGTGCAAAATGACCGGTGCACCGCCGCGGTTTTGCTGCCGTGCGCACCGCTCGGAGAATGCAAACATCGCCGCCCGCCTGCCGTGCCGCGCTGCACCCGCTGCTTATCACGACAGCGGGACCGTCGGCGGGGCGTCGGCCGCGCAGGCTGAGAGCGGCCCGGGGCTCGCTCGGTCGGCCGAGACCCGGGCTCGCTGCGGTCGGCCGGGGTCACGGACTCGCTCGGTCGGCCGGAGCCAGGCTCGCTCGGTCGACCGGGACCCGGACTCGCTCGGTCGGCCGGGGCCGGCTCGTTCGTGTCGACGCGAAACCGTGCTCGCTCGGTCGGCCGGGGCCGGGCTCGCTCGGTCGGCCGGGGCCGGACCCGCCGCTCGGTCGCCGGCTCGCTCGGTGCGGGCCGGAGCTCGCTCGTCGGCCGTGGTGCTGGGTCGGCCGCCCGTGGCTCGCTCGGGCGGCCGGGCCCGGGCTCGCTCGGTCGGAGACCCTGGGCTCGCTCGGATCGCCGCCATGGCCCGTGAGCGGGCAGTGTGACGGGAGTGGGGGGGGGGGGGCTTGGAACAAGCGTCGACAGTTACTACATACGTAGATAGTCGGCCCAGAGCGTGAAACTGCGGCGCGTGGCAAATGGACGGAGCGAGGCGGTGCTCTTAAAATGGCGCCGGCCTTCCCATGGGTGCTCGGTCACCGAGACGGACGACAGCCAATTCCGGCGCGATTGCGAAGCAATGGCTGGTTGTGCAAGTGATGGATTGTTGGCAGGGTTTACTGTCGCTTAATTGATGGAGGACATAGCGAGCAAAGAAAAGGACCTCCTCGCAAACGTATACCGTATACATGTGTGCCGTGCAGTGTGTACACTGCACATGTGTGTGTGTCAAGTGCGCTGTACAACACATCGCAAATGTGATAATGTTTTACTTGAAAATAACAGGCCCTTACGCCGAATGCAAGTTTTCTTTCAAAATCCAGTTGAAATTTGGGTCGCCATAAACGCCTCAGCCTAGACCAATATCAGTTAATAACAGAACTTTTTCAGAGACGCGGCTTTGCAGTCTACAGAGCACATTTACCAACGACATTCCGGTTAAACACGTGCAGCTAACTACCAGTCCGCAAAAAAAGCGCTGCATAGAGCCTGCACCACTAATACACTATGGTGACAAAAACATAAGTGCCCGTTGCTCGGAAAACAGGGGAGACGGCTCAGTGAAGGTTCGGCGAGCGTCCAGTGGTGCTCAGAATGTCGTCGCCGTCACCGGGCCAAGCCGAGCCAAGCCGAGCCAAGCCGAGCCGAGCCAAGCCGAGCCGAGCCGAGCCGAGCCGAGCCAAGCCGAGCCGAGCCGAGCCGAGCCGAGCCAAGCCGAGCCAAGCCGAGCCGAGCCGAGCCGAGCCGAGCCGAGCCGAGCCGAGCCGAGCCGAGCCGAGCCGAGCCGAGGCGAGCCGAGACAAGCCGAGGCAAGCGAGACAAGCCGAGCCAAGCCGAGCCAAGCTGAGCCAAGCCGAGCCAAGCAAAGCCGAGCCGAGCCGAGCCGAGCCGAGCCGAGCCGAGCCGAGCCGAGTCGAGCCGAGCCGAACCGCCACCCGGAATGCAGTGTGCACGTGCAGCGAATTGATGGCCTTTCCGGTGTTGGGCTGGCGTGCCAGCGACCCGCGGGCAGGGTCAACGGAGCGTGACGGGGCTCCGGCGGGGTCAGCCACCGGGCGGCAGGCCCGGCGCGCCCACCAGCTGATCCCGCCGGCGGGCACCGCAGTAGATCAAGTAGCAGCGAACCGCTGCGATGTACTGCGCGCCGCCACACTTACAGAGGAGTGGAAAACGCCTCTGCGTGTTGCGATGCAGATATGCAAGACTTGGTGTCTATTATTAATGACTTGGCGCGGCTAAATGTCATTATCAGAGGTTGGGTTTGTGGACGGAACGCGAAGTGTCTTCAGAAAATCAAAATGTCCACGTGGAACAGGTTACATATTTCTGGTGCATAACAGGTGAGGCTAGTTTTTCATCCAATACCAAAGCAGACTTCCTCAGTGGTACGCAACGGCCTGGTCTGTCGTCATCTGTCCTATTCTTAGACCGCATCCAGTAAATGCAACCGCACGCGTCTGCGCGAAAACAGCGACTTTGTTCAGAGGCCAGCACTACCTAGCTGCAGGCCGCCGAATCAGCGCCGGTCACGATTCTTTCCCAGAAGGGAGCGATGGAGGGCGAGAACAAGCACCTCAAGGCATGGGATGCCGCCATGGTCCAGCTGTGGCAAATTCCACCGATTAGCACCATGCACGGCACGGCATATCTGGGCATTGCCGACGAGGCGCGCCAATCCGGCCGAAGACGTTCCCAGGTGTGCGGCGCGTCACGCCAACACAGCTGGCGCTGGCCGCGGCCGGCAGCGAGGTCGCAGCCACCGCTGGCAGCCGCTGAGCCACGCCAGGCTCGGCTCACCGGCAGGTCAACGCGCGGCGGCCGGCAGCGAGGTCGTAGCCACCGCTGGCAGCCGCTGAGCCACGCCAGGCTCGGCTCACCGGCAGGTCAACGCGCGACGGTCGGCAGCGAGGTCGTAGCCACCGCTGGCAGCCGCTGAGCCACGCCAGGCTCGGCTCACCGGCAGGTCAGCGCGCGACGGCCGCACGAGGGCACGGCTTCAGAGACCGCCGACCAAGCATCAAACAAACAATGCCGACGATAGCGAGCCGATATACCGGGGTTTGTTCGCCTGCACGACGTCGGCACACAGTCCAACGGATGCGGCCGCTCGGGCTCACAGAGCGACGCGGCCACGGAATCACGGCTGGCGCGACACGGCGGAGGGCGTAGTATGACTGGGGAAGGGGGAGGCAGGTGCCCGGGGCGGCTGTTCAGGCCCGTGGCGGCCCGATGACTCTCCCGAGAGGTCGCACGCCGACGTCAAACATGCAGAGGACAGTGAGGTCCGCTACGAAGCCCGCCTGTGGCGGCCGGTCGGCCGCGACGAAGCCGCGCTCACCTTGCTGAAGGACGGGGAGTCGTAGACGCGCGTGCCCTCCGCAATGAGCAGAGCCTTCTTGCGCTGCCGCTCGGCCTCGTCGCGTCGCTTCTCCTCCTCGGTGCGCACGATGACCTGGACGCTGCCGGCCGGTGTCAGGTCGATCGGGTGGATGATCTCCGGCTTGGCGCGCTGCTCGCCGCCGCCACGCTCCTTCTCCTTCTTCTTGTCGTCCTTGCCGAACTTGAGAAACTTCTTGAGCGAGAACTTGCCGCGCCGCTTCGGCTCGTCGCGGCGCGACTTGCGCTCGCCGCCGCCGCCGCCTGTAGCGAACACGCTGACGCTACTCACGCCGTAGATCTTTTTCTTCACTTCGTCGTCCGTCATCAGACCCTCAACCTGGCCGGAGCGGGGCATCGACTGCGAGCGCGGCTTGATCAGCACCGTCTCGCGCGAGTAGAACTCGGCAGCCGGGTCAAAGCTAACCACGTTAGAGGCGCGCTTTCGCGAGCGCGGGCTCACCGACGACGACCTCATAGAGGCTGATGGAGGCAAGTCGTCGTCGTCATCGATGTCAGGCTTGAAAGAAGAGCGACGGTCGAAAATCGCAGTGGACGCGTAGGGGTTTTTGTCGTCCTTGATGCTCATATTTGTGGCACCGTTCGTTTGCACCGGCAGACTCAATGGTGCCTCGCCCTGAGTGAGGTCCCGAGAATTCTGCAAGCTATCTCCATTCACGACTGTGTGTTCATTATGAACTGGAGCAGGAACTGGAGGGCTTTCCACCTTAAGTTTGATGCGTGGAATCTCTTCCGTTTCAGGTTCAGCGACATCCGTCTTTTGCTCATCGGAAGAGGGTTCCGGTTCATGCTCGAATTCAACGGCTTCTTGCACATCCCTAACATGTCCATTCTCAAATGGCACCTTTAAAGCGTTGGTATGAAGTTCTGCGTTAGTTAAAGCGTCACGCGTTTCGAAATCATTTTTCTGCCCATTATCGTCTTCTTCGTGGCCTATCCGGCGGTTTTCATCTTCCTTCAGTTGGATATCAGTAATGCTATCTTTCTCTTGACCGTCCGCACTAGCATTTGCCGAATTATCGTTGGAGTCATGGCGTTGTTTGGGGGAATTTGTGAGACTTGAATGGTGATTATCTTTTTCTTCGAAGCCAGTCGCGGTTATGGCATGGGATATCAGATTATCATCTCCTTTGCCATCCGCCTCACCGCTATCATGACCTGCTTCGCTTTTACTCTCTTCAGTCTCCGACGAATGCGTCGTCATCTCAGGTTTTGACATAACTTCAGACCCCACATGCGGGTCTTGCTCCTGAGCATCTTTTGTCTCTGCATCAGGAGCCAGCTGAACTCCACCTGTGTCTCTGGTCTCGGTTTCGAGAGTATCTTGGGCAGGTCTGTCCTGGCTGGACGCATCTGTAGGGACACGCGGCGCCTGCCGCTTGGTGGTGCTGCCTCTGTGGCCGAGCGACAGCAGGTTAGCGATCGCTGCCCGGTTCGCCTCGTAATCGCTGCTCGTCGTCCTCTCTAGCTCCCTGTGTGGTGGCGGCTGAGGTGCCGGTCTGTGTTCCTTCCGTACCTCAGTAGACCTTTTCACGACTTGTTCCTCATCCAGTTCCTCTTTGTGTCGTTTTTCGAGCTCCTCACGCTGTTTTTCCAGGTCTTTCTCTCGCTTCATTGCACGCTCTTTCCTCGTCAGGCTCTCCTTCCTTGCAGGAGGACGCGGAGGCGATACGCTTATCGTCAGACGACTCTTTTCTATCGGCTCATCCCTCACTGTCTTGGCGCTCTCCACAAGCTTTGTCAAGCGTGTAGACGCATCGAGAACAGGACTCTTGACTGCCACGCAAACAGCGCCCATCACTTCGTCCTCCTGCTTTCTAGTCTCCGTGATCGGACACGACGCTTCCTGTCCCAAAGGCTCTAACTTTGGCGGGTCACGCTCTCCACGCTCAGTTTCACGGGCCTCAGAAGTTGGCCGGACACTGCTCTCGCTATCCGTACTTGTGGTTCGACTTAGCCTGTGCAGTTTGGCAGGCTTGGCCGCGATCTTGGGTTTCTCTCTCAGAATTGGAGGCTTGGTGGTACCCGATGCGGGTTTTGAGATGGGTCGTATCGCTGTATCGCTCGCTTTAGAAACAACTCCTTGGCGAGGAGACGCTGCCGGTTTAGCTTCCTCTTCACCGTCAGTCTTCGCCCTGGGATTTTCAGCAGGGGTGTCAGTCCCGTTTACTGCACTGTTAGTGATAGGGGCAAACAAAGTGGAGGCCAGAAAATCACTGAAGGTATTATCTGATTCGTCTGCTCTGGAGTTGGTCAGAGAATGCAAAAACGAGGTTCGTGGGGAGGGTTTCGATATCGGAGGCATTGAGGGCACAAGGCCTTTTGACTGGCTCTCGAATACTCGGCCAAAGGAAGCGTCTGTGGCTGACATCGCAGTCCTGTCCGTGACTGCCATCGCAGTACTGTCTGTGGCTGCCATCGCACTGCTATCTGTGACTGCTGTCGCAGTACTGTCTGTGGCTGCCGTCGCAGTCCTGTCTGTGTCTGCCGTCGCAGAACTGTCTGTGGCTGCCGTCGCAGTACTGTCTGTGCCCGTCTTCTTAGGTGGCTCGCACTGGTCTGTCCTCGATGGGCTTTGCATCATCGGCAAGTCTTCAGATGCCTCGGGCTGCTTCTCCGAGAATCTTGACTTCATCAGGTTAACTTTATTCACTTGTTCCTCAGATGCAGTATCGATCCTCTGCCGCAAAGGCTGACCATTCCGCGTTGATGAGCTTTCAGTGCGGACGTTCTGGTTGACAACATCTTCATCAATGAGCTTCTGAAGTGCAGAGCTGTGGGCAGATCGTCTCGCTTCATCCGCAGTGCGCTGCCTCAACTGCTCACTCAGAGACCACTTGTGGTCACTTTTCCTTTCGTCGGCACCTTCATCACCGTTTCCATTGTCGCCTTGCGTAGTATGTGACATTGTCGCCTCTGGCCTTCTGGACGACAAGCCGGCACCGATGGAGCCCGTTTCACTGAATCCGTTATGCATTCCATTCGCTTCAACGGACGAGCTTCTAGTCACCGAATGTCTTTCATCAGTCGGCTCGAAGGAAACTTCAGTCGAAGAAGAGTCTTCGTTTTCTGCCTTGGCGGAATCCAAGCCGTTCGAATGGTCCTCGTGGGTTGTCTTGACTGCGTAAAAGCTGGACGCGTTAGGTTTGTCCGATTCCTCAACGAGGTCTTTGTTTTGAGAAGGGCGAGGATTTTTCGTTTCCTTTAACGGCCTTTGAGCGGCGAGGTCGTCACCAGCTTCATCAGGAAAGGTCCCACTCTGTGAGGGCGCTTCTTCAGCGGTCCCCAGAGCACTTTTGCTGGACATAGGCTTCCCGTTGGACGCCGCGGCGGTGCTCGCGCCATTCAAGGGTACAGACGGCGGTCGGGACGTTTCGGTGGGGGGAGCCTTTCCCTCCGGAACGGCCGGGGCACCCCGCCGGCCGCCGATGGCGAAGCTGAACCTGGTCTCCACCAGCGGTGGGCTAGCCACCCGGTCGCCGGCCGACCGCTCAAACTCCGTGATGGAGACCGTCTCCGCCACCAGACCGCGCTCGGGACTCTCGCTGTTCGTGATCTCAACACTGGTCGTCTTCTTTGGCTTCTCGTCGATGAGGTCGTCCAGTCGGGTAATCTTCTCAGCCATCTTGGCCGACGAAATGGGATCCGCAGAGGCGCGTTTCTCCACCATCTCGAAGCGGTCGCGGCTCTCGGTGATGATCTCTCCGTTCTTCATCGGCGCCACCAGGTTGACCTTCACGCCGCCGGGGCTGCGGCCGGACGAGAACGGCGCGATGCTCACCAACGGCGTAAACTTCTTGTGGCGGCCGGTGAGCGCGCTGCGCTCTGTTGTGCTGTCGTTCTCGTCCAGCCAGTCCACCAGCGTGCGCGACGTGCCCGACAGGTTGCTGTTGATCGAGTTAAAGTCGGTGTTGCGCTGCGTGAGGCTCAGCAGGGAGCGCTCCTCGGCGCCGAGCGGATCGGCCAGCTCGGCCGACTCCGGCTCGTCCTCGTCTTCGCTCGACTCCTCGTCCATCTCGGCTGTCTCACCGCCGAAGCCGATCACCTCCGGCTCGTCTGAGAAGGCGACCGAGCGCCGCTGCCGGCCGCCGCCGCGCCCCTCCAGCACCAGGATGCCGCGCCGCCGGCCGGCCGGCGCCGCGTCGGCCAGCAGCGCCCTGTTCACCGCCGCGTGCACGATGCCGTCGGTGCGCTCCGGCGCGGAGCCCGAGGCAGCCAGCTGCACCAGGCGGCTGCTCGTCAGTCGGCCGCCGCCGGAGCCGGCCGGCGCCTCCGCTAGCTCCAGCCGCCCCATGCCGACGTCTGGCTCCTCCGACCGCGGCTGCAGGCCACGCAGCAGTGCCGTCGACTTGAGTGTCAGGCTGCCGCTGCTGCGGCCGATGGTCTCACTCAGCCCGGTGGAGGTGTAGGGGCGCGCCTGCGGGCTGTAGCGCCGTGTCAGATCGTCTAGACCGCGCAGCGCGTCGGCGCGCGGCGCCCCGCGCGGCGCGTGCTCCTCCTCCGACTTGAAGCAGTTGGAGCAGAGGTCCTTGCGCCAGGCGTTCTGCACGAAATGCCGGCAGATGACGGACATGCTGCAGTCTCAGCCGGACATTGGCGCCGCTGCCGCCGCCGGCAGCGCCTCTAGCCTCGACTGGGAAGAATGCACTGAGTCATAGCACATGCGGCTGCGGATTGGTAGCCAAGGCTGCTGTGCCGGCCTGCCAGACGGCCGGCCAGCTGGATGGGCCTCGTCACTACCTGACCGCCTCCCGGCGGCCGCTTCCGACCTCGCACTAGACCGGAGCAGCGGCGGCGGCGGCGAGCCCGTTTCGGCCCGTGGTCCTTGCCTGTGCGGAATCACGGTCACCGACGCCGCCTCCCGCGCCCGCCGTCTGCGCCTCTCTGCCGCCCACCGCCGGATCGCCCTTCACTCTGAATAACACCGCTCGCACTGAGGCCGCCGCCGTGCTCGAGGTCCGTGTTGCGGCGGCGGGGTCGGCACCTGTGCGCTCCTCGCGCGCTCTGCCCGCCGCAGCACCCCGCACGTCCACCACCGACTGCCGTCGCGCCGCCGCTGTCGGCCGGCCGCCGACCTGAAAACGCGCCGCCACCCGCGCGCCGTACGGTCGCTGACAGCGGTGCGGAACGCTGGTGCAGTCTCTGACAAGGCCGGTCGCTGGCGAGTCCCTACAGTCTCCCCCTTGTAAGGACCGGCATTTGGGGCCATTCAAGGCCAGCGCTGCCGGGGGCGCTAATGGTCCACAGGTACAGAGGGGCGGCCCACGCCTCTCGGCCAGTTCGGCCACAAACACGAAGGAACGCGGCCAACGTCAGACGCGAACGGAAGATCGGTGGGAACAGCGGGCGCCGCTGGCCTGTTTGGGGACCATGGCACTACTGAAAAAAATAAGCGGGTGTAGAGAGATGAGAGCCGCCATTGCGTCCTTGATGATAGTTATCAGCCTATAGCGCGGGCATGCATTAATTAAATGCGAAATGGCCGTGCAGACGTTTGTTTTTGGGATGGTGCGTCATCGGCGGGCCGTAGTGACGGATGCAGTCAGCTGCTCACAAACAATATATACACGGCAATATACACGGCAATATATGCACGGGCAGTCCGCTGATGGAACGTTAACAGTTCACCTGTTGTAGATCATCTGCAGGTGGTCACAGGTCGCGCATGCTGCAGGTATTTGGTCTGATTTTCGCATTTAGGCTTATACGCTTAACTGCGAATGTGATTTGCCCTTTATACAGTGGAAAACAACAGTGTTTAAGTGGCAACTGCGATGCTCACTGACCTACCTATTTCAGCTCTCGGGTACTTCGTCGGCAAGGCGACAAAAACCATCACGGAGCGAGTTCAGCCTCAGACACAGCTGCATTAACATGCCAATTACCGCAGGTACTTTTGCTCGTTAACACTGTCGACGCTACATTTGAAACGGCAAGAAACATGAAAGGTTACAGCAAATCAAGTGGCGAGCATGGACAACGCATTGAAAAAGCTGCACCATGCATGGCATGGGGTATGATGGACGGCGGCACTTTCATGAATGACGATCGATGCTCATATATATATAAAGTAAATACGGCTAAAATTTGGCACAGAAAGGCCGGAAGTCCCCAGATGATGCCGTTTAACGAAGGCAGCAGCGAACAGACCACCTACGCGCGTGGCCCGATAGACACCCTAGGTTCTGCGGTGGGCTACATGCTTATGTCATGACGCCAATAAAAGCTGACTTTTTAAAAAAAAACGTGACGCACGTCGTTCGCCCTACCTTTTGTGGGACGCCAGCGATTGCAGCGACCATAATAGCACCCAGCTGGTCATGGCATGACCGGGCTTTGAGGCCGGGTCCCTCTCAAGAGAGCCTCTGGCACACTGGCCTGGCCGCATCAGTGGTTGTGTATTTTATTCGGCGGCTGGCTCGAGACGTTCGACTCATGCCGCGTACTGCGCTGCGCTGCAATCGTAGCCTTACAATGCAGCATCTTTGGCATGGAATCCCAGACATTCCACACATTTGACTAGCAGAAGGGCTTTGGACTTTTATCGATTTGTAGTGTATTGAAACTGAAGACGTTTGGCAACTTCGCCAGCGGCGTGGTTTGAGTCGGTTGAAAGTAAGTTGGGGCTACGCTTCAGCGAGGTAAATGTAGACGGATGCAAATTTTGACACTTCAATGGGAATCTGACTCGGCCTGAATCTAAATCTGACTGAATCTCAGGTCCGGGACGGGCCCATCCAAATACATGAGTCCGAGAACAGCCTATCTCAGATTTCACAGCTCCATCTTATACCAGGGGAGAGGCCAAAGTTTTGGTAGGAAGGATGGAAGAAGTATGCAGCTCGATATATGGCTCCCGGTGAAAAGGCGCCCTCAACAATCACCATATCTTGCCCATTGTTTTTTTAGAGGGCCAAGCTGTCTTCATTTGTCCTCATCATGTCGACAAATGCGCTTTTTGAGGGGACCAGTGGATTAAACACTAAGAAGATCCCTTACCTCTCGCTGAAAAGTAGCTCCGTTAGTAGAAAACTAAGAGCCCCATTGCCTTTCCCGGTCAGGGGTTCAAGGGATGTTCGTTCCAACTAGTCACCCTGGATACTAGCCGCCTATTATTCTGGAGACACGATGACCGAGGCCCCCTAGTCGATCAGGAGGATCGCAAAGGGATGCATCATACATCGGTCCCCTCCCTGACGCGGAAGGCCCTCAAACTGGAAGCGGTTGCTTCCGGATTGATGCAGGGGGCCTTGTTGACGCCGAAGGAGCGCTTACCGACACAGGGGACCCAATAATTGGCGGATGACTCCAGTCCGGTTAATTAAGCAACTGACCGAGATAGAGATCTGGGGCCACGTTCGTTACTGGGCCGTGTCTGATACCGGGCCCTGAAGAGATCTGAGGCCACGTTCGTTACTGGGCCCGCGTCTGAAACCAGGCCCTGTAGATGTCTGAGGCCACGTTCGTTACTGGGCCCGTGTCTGATACCGCGCCCTGTAGAGATCTCAGGCCTCGTTCGTCTTGGCCCGTGTCTCACACCGGGCCCTGCCACTGTTTCATGGCTTGGCCATGTTAATACACATTGTTGACCACTCGATTTACAAAAAAAATTATCTTCAAATTTCAGTCAAACATATCAGTCTTCAGTCTACCTTTGCGATGTACATTGACGTCTATAGAACCCGGACAAGACATTCTGGCAAAGCATCTGAATTTTATCGGATTATAAAGCGTCCACCTAAGCCACTGTAAATTAAGAGCACCGATAGTTTATTCATGCGGTCGTTCAACGTCTGATTCTGCAGTTTATAACTACAAAATTCAAATAGAATTGTTCTCACTGTAGCTTCTGGTTCCTGTTCTGGTTACAAGGGGTGCCGCAATAGTCCCCATGCTGCTAGTCCAAGAGATCGTCAGGACACTGCCAAGATGCAACGGAAGCAGCTGCGGATGAGCAAAGCAGATTGATGGCTAAGTTGACGACACAGTTTGATGCAAAAGTCTATGCCACTTACAAGCGAGCCTAGCCCCATGCTCCCGGAAGGAAAGTTGGAGAGAGTTTTGGGGTTTTCGAGTTCCTTTTGTGAATCCAAGCGGACCGCTGCCAGTACTCGTTCGAGCAGCGTGATGCGGTTGTGCTTGAGTGTGCGGTGACTCACTGCGCAGACAGGGAGCTTCTGAATAAATTTTTTGGAAGACCGGCGTTAGCCCTAAGCAAAGCCTTGGAAAATTCAAAACAGGAGGGGACAAGTTCGTGCCAAGTGAACAATCTTAATTCCATTACCCTCTCAGTTGGCTCGTTCGAAACGGATATTAAACTTTTCGCACATCATCGAGCCACCTCAGCCTGTCAAACGTGAGGTCAAGCCGCGATGGTCACGCAGTTTCGAGGGCTGAGTCAGGCTCCCGGGACCCGACAGCGCCGGTGTGCTTCAGGTGCTGAAGCAGGCGTTACGCCAGCGGGGACTGTCCGTTCAAGCAGGCTGAACGCTATGCTTGCCACCGGGCGGGACATACCGAGAACGCCTGCCGAAGCAGAAACCAGCCGGGAAGTGACCGCAGAAATTAAGTCGCTAGAGAAGAGGTCCCAGCTCTTCAAGACTGCGCCCACCAGGTGGTGGAGGAAGATGCCTACGGCATCAACATGGTGGCCGACAGATCGACGCCAGCAGTCGTAGATGTTTCGCTCAATGGAGCACAGGTTACTATGCAAGTAGATACGGCTGCTAGTCGCTCCATCATCAGCAGGGCGATGTTTACCAGCATGTGGAACAACCCACCAATCTTGGAGCCGCCGCTGAGCCGGTCCCTGTCGATTTACACGCGAGAGAAAGTCCCAATGGTGGGCGTAGCCGCACTGGAGGTGTTCTATCCAGGCCGGAAGGTGATGCTCGCTCTCGTCGCTGCGGACACCAAGGGACCGCCTTTGCTGGGACGGAAGTGGCGACCAAGCTGGATTAGAATCTCCCCTTCAGCTCAGATTCCTTGCACAATCTCTTGGCACCCGTCCGCTCGGATTCCGGGGATCTAGAAGCTGCCTTGCAGAAAGATCGAACTGAGTACAGCGACCTCTTCAGAGCAGCCGTAGGACGCCACCATGTCCGAAAAGTCTTCATCGAGCTCGATCCCGCAGTGGCGACGATCTTTCTGAAACATTAACATCCACTATTCTCTTCAGTTTTATAGAAGTATGGAGGAAGTCGGCCACCGACGGTTAGGTGGATGCACCCATACGACAGCAAAGCATCTTAAGCCGACCTGCCTCCGAGTAGCCTACCTACTTGGCCGAGTTATCTGACAATCGTCGCAAATTGGAAACAGCACACAACCCATTCGTATCAAAAGTAGCCACCTGACTTCCGCACGGAAACTGGGAACGTGAGCTGCTTTATTCCGCATTGCATTGCCAGCTCGCTGAGACGTACTACAGTACTGAAAATGGGAGAAGTGGAACTCTTTTGACATCTGATGGGTCTTATAATCAGCTGGATACGACTCTCACCTCATATTTATCAATGTACCTTTTCTCAGACGATCTTGCTTTCAGCAGGCTTCCTTTGGAGCATATAGACA